GAGCAGGGAAAGGGGGCTGGGACTATTGAGCCTTTGGGAGTCTGAGAAATTTCCTGAGTAATTCTGATTTATCTCAGCCCTTAGGGACGAGAATTTCACCTGCAATTATTTTCTGTTCCCCGGGAAGGGATGTCAGCTCCTTGTGTTCGTATTTTCTTTAGGAAGTTGTTCCTTCTTCCCTTCCCCACCCCCAGACAAGGGTCAAACCAAGCCCCTCAGCATTCCTGGTTTTCCTAGAACAGCTGTAAATCAGACTTCCAGCTGCCAATGAGCAGGTGCTGGCAATAAGGACAGTGGGGTTTGGGGTGGGACTTGGAGGAGCCGAGAGGAATTTGGCAGCAGGATTGCTGGAGCAGTGGCTGCTGCTCTCCTGCTCCCTCCAGGTGCTCTGCTGCTACCTGTGGTTTGGGCTGCTGCCCTTCCAGAGTAATAATAGTCATACAATATAAAAGTATTTGATGCTTTTCTACCTTTCCCATATTCCCGTGTGCATCAGTAGCAAACAGTTGTCACAAATTGCCGTGGAGCAGCAGTTAATCATCGATTGTAACGAGTCTATTGTGCATCCACGCCTGGCACTGCCTCTCCTTCCCTTCTCCCACACTTCAGAGCTGGGAGCTGACAAATATAAACAAGGGTGGCAGCTCATCCCTTGGAAGTTTGAGCCTAAGGAAGAATCCCTGGAGCCCCCGGCGCGGGACTCACGTTGCTGTGGGAGCCTTGAGAGCCTGTGGGCAGCTCCAGAGCCCTCCCTGGGGAGGCAGAGCCTTGTTGTAAGGATTTGATGGGGAAATGGATGGGGGAAAGACGGAGGAGGGTTTTGGAGCTGGAAAGGATTTTCCTTCCAGCACCTTCAGCCAAAGGAGGCTCCAGATTGTCATCAGTGTGTTTGCTCCGGCTTGGAGAAAGGCAATTCTGGGATGCTGCCCCGAGAGAGAGCCTGTGCCGAGGGTACTGGCTCCCTCCTGCCCCCTGTGCTGTCTGGAGGGGGTTTTGCAGCTAAGTCGAGTCTAAGATGGGTCTCAGACCACCTAAGAGGGGCTGCACAGGCTCCAAAGCTTTGCCAAGGGGGATTTGAGCAGCTCCACTGAGCAGCTTGGGAGAGAGAGGCAGAGCCAAAGCCAGGCTTAAGTGGGGAGGAGAAGAAGGCTTTAAAGCAGGTGTGAAAAGCTGGAGAGCTCCATAGACTGTGGTTTGGATTCGGGAGCTGAAGGAGTGTGGAAGGAGGGGTTTTTGAGCCCAGAGTAAACAGTGAACTCGTCTGTTTGTGCAATAAAGCTGAGCTCACAGCTAATGCAAACAGTTTTCATTAAGAAATAATCAAAAATAAAAAGCCATTTCACATGCTGATAAGAAGCCAGTTGGTTTTTATACTTCACCAGCAGTTTAAGCCATGCTTAAAGCCATTTATCTTTCTCCCAGCGCTGGCTGCAGAGGATATGAAAAATGCAGCAGGCCCCACATATGTAATTAAACTTTTGGCAGAATCTTTGCCCTGCAGCTTTACTAAGAAATTCAATAATGATAAATCGAGTAGAATATAGAAAGGACTTTTTGGGAACAAGATTTAAAATAATGTATGTGGCACAGACAGTTATTTGCCACATAATTGTCTTGGCAATGTTCTCGTGAACACCCTGTCTGATGGTGTCAGCTATTCTTTACAAACCACCCCTTGTTCTGCTCTTATCACCACTCCAATTTGCTATTGAGGCTTTCCTGATTCCCAGCCAAGCTTGTGTTTAGCTGTAATTGCTGTTTTGTCCCCCTCAGCCTGGGTGAGATGCAAGATTTCAGGCTGGGTGCTGTGTTTCATTTCTAGGTGCTGTGTTTGGTGTGACGGTTGTCCTGGTCCCCTTTCTGATGCTGAGAGCTGAAATCATCACTCCACTGTAATTATCCTGTATTTTTTTATCTTTTCCAACAGCAGTTGGAAGTTAATCCCGTCACTTGACCAGTCTCACTGTTCTTTGTGACACTGCTGGGGAAATGATGCCGGATTTGTCTCCCTGGTTGGTGTTGCTGCCTTTATCCTCTGCTAATGCACCAATAATTTGTAGTAGAGGCAATTTTGTGTTCAAATTGTCCACTCAAAACACCCTCAGCACTTTCCCTATAAAAGCTGCATCGCTTCTCTTTACTTCCCACAGATTTTCCCTGTTTGGTGCTGGCAGGAGCTGAGCTCCTCACTCCTCTGGGCACCGCGGCATCTCCCTGTCCTTTGTCACTGCTGTCCTTGGAGGGGCTGCAAATATGCTTGAAAAAGGCTATTTTTCATCAGTTTTTTCCAATAGTAGCAAGCAGACTAGTTGTAAATACAATAATGATGACAAAGGTGTCTGGCAGAAGTGAGGTGGGACTGGACACCTCAGCAGGTGGCAGGTTAAGCAACAGAGCTGGGCTGGGCTTTTGCTTTTTCATTAACTGGCTTCAAACTGAAGGAGAGCAGGGTTAGATGGGATACTGGGAAGAAATTGTTCCCTGTGAGGATGGGGAGGCCCTGGCACAGGTTGCCCAGAGGAGCTGTGGCTGTCCCTGGATCCCTGGAAGTGTCCAAGGCCAGGTTGGACAGGGCTTGGAGCAACCTGGGCTAGTGGAAGGTGTCCCTGCCCATGGCAGGGGGTGGAACTGGATGAGCTTTAAGGTCCCTTCCAGCTCAAACCATTCCAGGATTCCATGATTGCATGGAAATCTGCCTCAGCAGCCCACCCTGCCCTGGCTGTCGGGGCTTGGGGTCGCTCGTGCTTTTATCAAACACTTGTTGCTTCCTCTAAAGGCAGAAACGCTGCTCTGGTCACTTGAATGTAAGTTCTTGTCTCTAATTATCACATAATCCATTTATCCTTCTCCCTGGAAAGCCTTTGATGCTGGAGGGGGATTCCTGCCCTGCTCTACATCCTCAGATGACCCTGGTGTCTGTGCAGGGCTCAGGCTCTTCAGGGAATGGGGGGCTTGGGTTGGTCTGTCATTCTGTCCAGGCCGTGGGTCAGCGCTGGTGGCCAGGGCAGGGACAGCTGAGGATAACACTGTTTGTGGGGCCAGGGAACGTGTGCCAAGCAATTAAATTAGTCCAGTGGTCTGGTAGAAGGAGGGAATTTCATCCCTAAGTGCTCCAGCCTTGGCTGCCCCTTTGCCAGGGGTCTCCCGTGCCAGCGTTCCCGCGGTGACTTGGCCGAGCTGCTCCTCGGATCTGTTTGTCCTTGTGTTGCTCAACACAAATATTTGTCTTTGTCCCCGAGGGCTGGGCTGGAGCTGAAGCTCTGCCACCAAATGTTATTGACTGGGCTGGGATCTGGGGACAGAAAGTGTCTGGCTCCGGGTGGCTCCCGACAGGGACAATATTTATCCGGGCAGCATCTTGCTGTGTTTGCAGAGTGCTGGGGGAGGTGGGAGAGTGGCTGTTTGCAGCCCTGGTGATGCCACCCAGGGATGCTCCTGTGGCACGGGAGGTGGCAGGAGGGAATCCACCTGGTCCTGCTGCTGCCCAGTGGGGTTTTAGTCTTTAACCTGGTTTTTTGGTACCAAAAACCGAGAGGACGTGACCTTGAGCTACACCAGGGGAGGTTCAGGTTGGACATCAGGAGGGGTTTCTTCACAGAAAAGGTTGTTAAACATTGGAAGGGGCTGCCCAGGGAGTCCCCATCCCTGGGGGGGATTGGAGGAATGATTGGATGTGGCACTCAGTGCTCTGGGCTGGTTGATGAAGTGGGGATCGGTCACAGGTTGGACTTGATGAACTTGGAGGCTTTTTCCAACCTTAATGATTCTGTGAAAACATATTAAATTCTTGGTTTTATTCTCTGTCTTGCTGAGGACCGCTCTGGGAGGCCTTCAGGTGTGTGGGTTTGTGTTCCACCTGGCAAGATGCAGTGTTGCTGACACCTCTGCCCTGCCAAGGTGACCCCCCTCACTTTGCACGGGGCCCTCTGGTGCCCATGGTCTTAATTGGCTCTGGAAGCACATGCTGTGCAATGTGTGATGTGTCAAAGGGACAAGGCAGGATGGAGGGGGAGGCATTGGCATCCCATCAAAATGATTTCAAACAGCTCCTTGCACTGTCCACAGAAAAAACCATCTTGGAGCTGGTGGGTCAAGGGGCAGGAGAGAGAATTAGATAAACCTAGAGGGAGATAATTATGTTGTCTAAGTGTCAGATCTGTGATATGAAGCCATAGCTGTGTGAGGCTGAGGAATTTGAGCTCCTCATTTCTTGGCTCCTCTGGCCCTTGTTGTGCTGAGGGTGAGCAGTGAAGGGCTTGGGGTGTGGGGGGCTTGTGGTGCTGCCTGGTGCTTGTTCCTGCCCTCTGAGCCCTAATCTGGGCTTGGGGTTTTGTGGTGTGGTTTTAAAGGACTGGTTGAAATAGAGCCTGTGGTAATGGCCCTGCTGGGAGCAGAGGTCTGGAATAGGCTGGAGTCATCTGGTGACATCATAGTAAATGGCAGCGTTTTTCTTAGTGGAAGAAATGACCCTTAAATACAGGTCAGTGGACCCCTTTGGTGAGGGGGTGAAATGCAGATGCAGTGCTGTGGATCAGCATCATGCTTCCTGCATCAGAAAGGCAAGGGAGCTGCAGCCCTGCCAGGGCTGGGGTGGGGTGGGGGACGGTCTCACCATGGGTCCTGGCAGCTCTGTCCTCATCGCCCTCACCCCCCACCAGCCCCAGAGCTTGTCCTGCCAGGTCAGGACTTGGCAGGGTGTGAGCCCAGGGTGCTGCTGGGGAGCCCTGTGGGACCAGGAGCAGCTCCCTGGAGGAGGAGGAGGGGGCAGAGAAGGAACTTGGGCTTTGCCTCGAGGTCTCCATGGCCCGTGGGCTCTGCACTGTGTGTGGGAACCCCCCACCCTAACCTGAAACCAAGGGGACAACACACCCCTTCAGCCCCGCTCTGCTCCCTGTTATTCCTTCTCTCTGCTTTCTCCTTCTGGGAGGGGGGGCAGGAGCTGCCAGGCTGTGTCTGTCTGTCCCTCTCAGCTGACCCAGGTGTTTTTCTGTGCCCCCCAGACAAGGGTGAGAACGGGGAGCCCTACCAGAGGAGGAGAGGTGTGGGGTCCAGCCTGCCCGACGGCCCCCCGGCGTTCCCGGTGCCCAGGGACGGAGCCTGCACGCCCGGCAGCAGCAGCTGGAGGCGGATAATGCTCATGATCCTCGCTATAACCATCCACAACATCCCAGGTGAGCCCTGTCCGTCCATCCATCCACCCATCCCCGCTCACAGGCAGGTCAGAGCCATCCCAGGGGGATCACACGGTGCTGCCACCCTCTCTCCCTCCTTTCCCTCGCGGGTGGCACCCGCTGAGTGGGTGCCTTTGGACGGGATCTTGTTCCAGATCTTGTCCTCCTGGTGGGGCTGAGCCACGTGAGGTCTTGGCAGCAAAACTCCACACGGGGAGGGGACTCAGGGGCAGTCAGTGGGCTCAGGGGGAGCCTTTGGTGCTTTGAACATCTGGCTCATGCCAGCCTGTGGTGGGTGAAAGCTGTGAATCCCAGGGGCATATTGAGGAAGGTGATGCTGTAAAGACAACAAATTCTGGTCTCTTTTAGTTTCTCCTCTGGTCTGCGAACCAGCAAGAGATGCATTTTACAGCGCTGTGTCTCTGCAGGAGGATGTACAATTGGGGTTTATTTTCTTCTTCAGGGGAGGGATTTGGACAATAGCTGGAAAATTTGAGTCTTGGCGGGCTGTGTCCTGCCAGGCTGGGCTTTGTGTCCCAGGAAGATGCGATAAAAGGCTGATGAGATCACTTTGTGACAGCTGAGGATGTGCCACTGCTCTGCAATTCTTGGGGATGTTGAAAGTCATATAAGGCAACCTTTTCCAATGCTTCTTTCCTGCTCTCCTCTCCCTCCCTCCTCCTCCTCTTCTCCTTCCCCTCCCCTTTCCTTTCTCTCTTCTCTGCTGGCTCTGCCTGGCTCGGGTTGGAGCTGGGGTTGGGGTGGGTGCAGGGGGAATAGGAAAAAGCTTTTCTGCATAATGTTGATCTGTAAATCCGGGGAAAAGCGCTGAGTGCCCTGGGAAGAGCATGTTTTCTGAGCATGGCTCAATGGTGAGGAGGTGAATGTTGTCAGGGTGGGAGCTCTGGGCTCAGGACTTGCTTGATCCACCAGAGCCAGGGTGGGAGGAGCTGCCTTGGGCTGTCACCCCGTGCTTGGTGATTTTGAGAGTGACTTTGACCCAGTGCCATCAAACATCCGTCTGAAATTCCATGGCTGGATGGTCTTCCCGGGTGAGAAGGCTCTGTTACATCCACACATCCCGTGTTTCTGCCCTGCCAGGGCACCCCGGGACTGAAGGAGTCAAAGCCAACACACAGTGAGCTCTCGGCTGCTCGTGGGCGTTCGCTCCCTCAGCACTGAGAGCTGCCTGGTGCTCGCTGGGCTGGGGGCAGGAATTGCTGCCTTCCAGCTGGTTACTGACTCACAGCACCCTTGGGTGCTCCTGGCCCCACCCTCAGGGCATCCAGCTGGCCAGGGTTTCCTTATCCCGAGAAGGAAGCTTTGCTGCAGCTTTTTGCATCACCAGCACAGGCTATTTCTGTGCATTAACCTGCTTCAGTTTGTCAGCAGCAGCAGCAGCACATTTGTCCCTTCTCATCCTTTATTCCGTGTTAATTATAGGTAGATAACTGATGCCATGGTCCAGCTCCACGTGTTGCTGGGGGAGGCAGATCCCTGGCAGACAAGGCGAGGAGGGAGCTTTGAATTCCCCACACGCAGAAAGGAAAGGAAGACGTTTGTACTGAGCAAACTGTAATTGGATTTCATCCCTCAAATGATGTGTCTGGGAGCCAGGGTGAAGAGCCAGGTGTCATCTGGCTGCTGGGCTGGGGATTCCTGTCTGTCACCAGCAAAGAGAGAAAGTTCTGTAGAGCAGGGAACAAAGTGTCACCCGTGGAGGGAGGTTAATGGTGACATGGCCCTGGCTGCCACAGAGATGCTGGTCTGCCCTTTCATTGCTCCTGCAAGAGCACAAAGCCACCTTGGGATGGTGACAGACAGTTTGAAATTCTCTCTTTCATCTTAAAGGTCACAATATTAAAGCTTAATGCCCAGAGAGCTGTGTGAGCAGTGGCTCAGGCGCTGCCTGGGGGCTCAGTTCAGTGGGGATTCTGTTCCTACCAATCCTGGTCCCCCACGTGCCCCTCCTGCTCTTTTCCTGCCTTTTCAGCAGCCCCACGGTGGTGCTGGGTGGGTGACAGTGGCTGTTTGTGCCCAGTGGGGCCACTCACCAATGGCAAAGTCCTGACTGACATCCTCCTCTCAGTGGGGACGTGCCCAAAGTCACCCTGGGGTTTGGAGTGGCAGAGGTTGGTTGTGATCCTGTGTCTGCCCTCGTGCTCCGGAGCCCTTCCCGCAGGGCACGGGGTGCCAGCACTGACTGCACCCCAAGACATAACTGAGATTGTGAGTACCTCAGGAGCTTGTGGCCAGCCCTGCTCTTTACCAGCTCTCTGCTCTTTCTTGCATGAAGCAGGTGCTGGTCCAGCCTCGCTGAGCAGCAATTTGGGGCTCAGCTTTCTCTGAATTCCTTCTGCTTTCCCAGGAAAAGCAGCAGCGGCGCTTCTCGGATCCGCCGTGGCCCCTGATGTGGAGCAGGGTTTGGAAACACTGTAATGCTCTCCCTCAATTAGCAGCCCTGCCAGAGGAAAGGCTGCTATAATTAGCACAGACTCCTGCAGTGTAATGACACCTCGGCTGTGCCTGTGCTGGGGGAGGAGGGAGGTGCTGAGCTGGGATGTCAGGGATGCTCCTGCCACGGAAAACCACGCTGTGCTCATCAGTCATGGAATGCTTTGGGTTGGAAGGGACCTTAAAGCTCATCCACCCCCTGCCATGGGCAGGGACACCTCCCACTAGCCCAGGTTGCTCCAAGCCTCGTCCAACCTGGCCTTGGACACTTCCAGGGATCCAGGGGCAGCCACAGCTTCTCTGGGCAACCTGTGCCAGGGCCTCCCCACCCTCACAGGGAGGAATTTCTTCCTAACATTTAGTCTAAATTTTCCCTCTTTTGGTTTAAAATCATTCCCCTTTGTCCCATCACTAACTGCCTGTGTAAAATGTCACTTTCCATCTTTTTTATAAGCTCTTCAAAGGAACATAATCCTTTGTAAGTACTGGAAGAAGCACTGAAAGGCCTCAATCGGATCTCTCGAGAGCCTTCCCTTCTCCAGCTTGCTTTGGCAGAAGCACACAGCTCTGGTGTTTGCTCTGCTTCCCTGTAAGCTCAGGGCACTCACACAGAGGTTGTCCAGGTAGTTCCCAAGGGTTTTCTGTACCTTCATAAAACTCCACATCCTTGGCAATGCTCTGGTTGCCTCAGCGAGGGAGGTGCAGCCGGTGGGGTGTCCATGTTCACCTTGTCGGGTCTCTGAGCTGCCCAAATGCCTCTGATGGGCTGGAGCTGCTCTTGCTCTTCAGGATTGTCACACCTCAGCCCAAACTCTACCTAAAGTCCCTCTGTCTGGTGATTAAAGCCCTTCAAGGACTGGCTTCCCATCCCTGTTCTCCTCCCGCGCTGGTGGGGAACGGGCTCCCCCTCTGTTGCCAGAGAATTGTTTTATTGACTTTGATCCCATTTTAGGGATGAGCTGGTTTTGGTCTTGGCAGTGCCTCTATCTTTGGTTTCAGGCTGGAAGCAGGTTGCTGTGGGGGTGAGATAGTGGAACGTACAGCCCAAGCTCCTGCAGTCGGTTTGTGTTCCGTGGGCTCTGCCGGCAAGGAAAGGTTGGGGAATTTGCTCCAAAGCTGGGAATGCCAATTGATAATGACAGGAGATGCCAAACTGCAGACTCTTCCTGCTCATTAATATTCATATATGCTGGGTTTAGTAGAACATTAATTATGTATTTAATCAAGCCCTGTTTATTCTGGTTTATCTTTGTACCTTGGGTGGCTGTTATGCTGAAGACTTCAGATTAATTAAAATGTTACTGGTGTATCACAAATAACAATTAGTGAGGTGTGAGCTGAACAGCCTTTCTCTTTGTGCTTGTTTGGGAGGGGGAGGAAAGCCTGGCAGGGTGGGGGATGTGGGTCCAGAGCTGGTTCCCAGGGAACTCCTGGAGGGATCTGCTCTGCTCTGAGCCGAGCTGGGGGTGTGCAGGCAGGGATGTCCCTACTGTGGGATTCTGGGGGATCTCCCAGAATGGAGATGCTGCAGGAGCCCCTAATGCTCACACTGCTCCAGGAGGGATGGAGGACAGGCCCAGGGCTATGTTCTGCAGCTGTCTGTGGCAGCGAGGTGGGGAAGGGGTTACAGGTGCTGGTTGTGTTGATGCCCTGCCTTGCTTTCCTCTGGCTGTTTCTGATCCCCCAAAACCTCTCAGCTGACAGCAGGGACCTGGCTGGGATCCCACCCACTGCACTGGTGCCCCATCCCTGCATCACCCTCAGAGCACCCCCGACAGGGAGCATCCTCCTGGGAAGGCAGCAGGGCTGGTTCCTGCCAGGCATGAGGTGATGCTTCCAACCACCCGAACGTTGCCAAGGAAACCTGAGTTTTCCTGTTCCTTTGTGATGTGCTGGGCAGAGCCGGGTGGCCCCAGACCCCGGCACAGGCTGGGAGCACATCCCGGGAGCTGCGACAGAGCTGGATCATCCTCTGGGCTCCAGCCTTCCCCTCCTGCAGGAAAACCTCTCACTTTTCTGTACTCAGTCCAGTCCCTCCGTGTTTGCTCTGATGCTTCTGCCTCAAGTGTCACCATCTAACAGAGGTGTCTGGGAAGGAGCTGATGGAACGTGGCAGTGGCGCCGTGCACGGAGTCACCGGGTCACGGGGAGAGGTGGTTCTGACGTCCCCTGCTCGCCCCCTAAATCTCACATGGCTCCACCTGAGGCTTTGTCTCCAGTTCCCGCTGCCAGAAACCCATTAGCAGGCTAGGATTTATTTATTTTTAATGAGGAGGAACAAAGTGAGGAGCAGGATGGAGTGTGTGAGCTAAATACGGAACAGATCCCGGCTGTGGTGGTGGAGGTGCTGCAGGAGAAGGGGGGCACGGGGGGTGTCACTACGTGCAGGAGGGACAAAATGTTAGAAGGAGAAACTTTTAGGTGGTGACAGCTATGGGAAGGATGAGTGAGACTCCTGGGAAGCTGCAGTGGGTCAGGGGGAAGGTTCCTGCACCGCCCAGGTGGAGCATCCAAGTTCTTTCCCCTTGGAACTGCGCTTGGAGGTG